AAAGGAAGAACTTGGTGGTTTGCACTCTTTTGTCTTTGGGATGAATATGAGAACAATATGAATATGAAATCTCTAAGCAAAGTCCACCACAAGGGAAGTGGAAGTTGAGGAAGAAGGAAGGGACAAAACATCCCAAGAAACATATTTACAGTAGCAATTCAATGTTAGCTTTCAGAAAGTGGGACCCTTCTCTGCAGGGAGAAAAGAATGCCCACCCCACGACAACCCCACCACAGCCTAGAAAGTTCCAGGACAAAACCAGAAAAGTCACGACATAAAGAGCATCCCAAGATGGCTCTTCTCCTTTCCGCCTTGGAGTGACTAGTGATTTTCTCCTTTTTCAAAGCACTAGGCTGATGGAAGTAAACCTCATTGGACATTTGCCCTGTCCCCCAGAAGAAACATCTCTGTGAGAGAGAAGACTGGATTTGTCCATGTCTCCAATGAAAAATGCATCCCTCCAAGATCAGCTGAAGGGTCCTTTTAAGAATACTACCTTCTGTGCATTCCAGCAGCTCAGACTTTCATCTGTCCAGGATTTCCCTTCACAGATTTTTTATAGCCCACTGACCAAGAAGGATTTTCAAATGCCCTTGCCGAACTTTTCAGTTCACATCTTTTGTTTATTCTGGTTTTCCTCTTTCTAACTTGTTACCAAAGTGTTTTTCACTTTTCATACTTTATTAGAACTTAAGCATTTTGATTGTACACATTAAACTTTTCATTCTGCATGATGACACCTGTGCACTTGCTACATACTCTTCAGGCGTCTACTTATTTGTATGAAACAACTTGAAATGGTGCCATTCCTGCAATTTGGGTTTTTCTGATTTTCTTTGCTCCAAGGACAATTTTGCCTGCTTGTAATTGCCACCCATTTCAAAGCACCAGTTCCAACCTGCAAACCCCTTGTCAGAGGACACGTTTCCTCAGTGTGTGAAAGTGCTTTGGGAAGAGGGCTAAGCCGACCCAGTGCTAGCTGGATTTGGGTGGACCTGGCTTCTCTTCAACTCGCATTACCTACCTGAGGAATCTTGTAGATGCCTGACATGGCTGAAACCAGAGTGGAGATGTCCAATTCAGTTCCTTCAAGAATGGCCAGCAGGTTCTTCTTCTTGCCACAATCAAAATTTGGAAGGTGGCGTTCCCCACCAGAAGGCAGACCTAGCATGGCATAGGAAGTTGTTCTGGCATTGAAATGGCTCTCATAGATGTCATACCCCAGGCTCATGTTGGGTAAGAGCCTGGGATTCTGGTTGATACCATGGATGGAAAGTGAGAAGGACAACATGTGCCAGTATCTCAGGAGTAGGAAACTGCAATGCCAGAATTGGAGAAACTGGGCTAATTTTATGAAGAGGGTTCAGAAGAGATTCAGCATGCATCAAGAGAAGGATTCATTCACATGGCATGCAGTTCAGTGATGTCATTCACTTGCAGCAGGTGCAGTCACAGCTAGGGATGTGCAGAAAATCTGTTGGATTCCTGGTTTTGGCTTCCAAGGTTCAATATCTCTTCCCTTCATTCCAGAGTCCAAGTTCCTTGTAAGCACACCCAGCATTTGACGGCTGTTCCACAGGAATAGAGTTCCACATGCTGCATAATCAGTGCCATTCCTATATGCCTACCAGTTGTACCAGCAGCACTGAGTTGGGAAGTGTAGTGGATGGATTTCCTCTTGACTCACCTTACATGCAGGACTGGGCCAAACATGAGAGGAAGTCCACAAGATTCTAGAGTGGTAGATTCCAAAAGTGTTCATACCAACCCTAGTCAAAGTGACTAACTCTGATGACTTTAGCAGGAAAAATTTGTGGAGGAGAATGACAGTTCTGATGGCTCTGTTTTGCCTAAGTTGTCACAGGCTAGGGTTGGGATGAAACTTCTCAGAATCCCTCCTCCGAGGATTTCAAGCTTCCTCCTGTGCTCAACCTGTTCTTCCCAGCTATGTTGATCTGAGAGGAAGCCCATGAATGCTTGGAGACTCCCAGCTATGCTACCTTCCACATCAGTAGTGACTGCTTAAATGGGAGCTACTCCTGGCCTGTGAGTTGCATGCATGGGGGCTGCTTTCCCAGGGAGCCCCTCAACACCTGCCTTCTTTGGCATCAGTGGCAGGCACTTGAAGCGCAGCTTGCACAAGGTGTGGAGCTCACTTCCTGGAAAGCTCCACACAAATGCTGGGCATACAGTCCAAGAACATGAGCTCCAGGCTGCAGCAAGGCAAGCTGGATTCCAAGGAGCCCAGTCTTGGAAATGTGATGGATTTCCACTCCTTGACAGAATGCTGACATCCTTCAAGGAAGTGCAAGTGGAGAGATTTTATTGCTGTCCTTTCTACTTTGGGATATCCACTGACACCTGTTTGGGTACTGCGTACATCAAATGCTGGCCTAGATGGACCATTGGTCCAGTGCATTATGGCTCTCCTTATATTTTTATTTGGGGTATTTTAGGCCATCCAATTACAATGAGTCTCTGGATAGCTCACAGTGTCTTTTCATGTCTTCTAGAATAGAAGTCTCAGATGATGGTGTGCCACAGTCCCTCAAGCAATCAAATACAGTACTTTGCCCCAAAAATACTTGCAGATGCATGATTATCTCAAACCTGCCTGTTTGAGATAACCCAAGAAGTAGAGAGGCTTTGACATTCATTTTCCTCTCCAGCAGAAGTATTCTCGTCATTAGCACGGGAGTGACTGAAAGGGAGCATTCATCTGGCTGATCTTTTCCTGCAGGGTATGTCAGGGAAGGACTTGGGAAGTGAGATCTCCTCTTCTTCCCAAGATGCCAAGTGGAAATAATTGAAGGAGACACCCCATCCTCATGCCAAAGAACTTTGCCTGGCCCTCACCCTTCCTGACTCCTCCACAGATGTTCCATAATGGATTTTCTGCTACCTCCATTAGAAGAGCTGAAACTCAAAGACATCCATCTCATTTCCTACTGCATAAGAGGCAGTGATGCAGGAGTGGTAGGGAACCATGTGATGGGTCAAATAATTTGGGCAACCCCAAGGAAAAGTCCCCCTGGATCCAGCCTGGATCCTGCCTTGCAGGTTGAAGAAAGCAGATGTTTCTCCATAAGGCTCAAACCATGCAAGCAGTGACCACACAGACGTGAGACTGCTGTTCAGGATGCTCTCAATTTTCCTTCGGAAAGCACAAGAGGGGCAAAATTCAGGCAGAAATTCCAAGGGAATGGTCACAGGACCAGAACAACGGGCTGTCTGCAGAAGAGGGCACAACTGGAGTGCAGGAAAGGAAGCATTTAAGGAACATGATTCACCTCTCCCTTCGCTTGGCCGGTGACTCAGAAAAGACATAGGGTTGCTGATGCCCAAAATATTGTGAAGAGATGACTCCACTGACCAGATAGTCTCCTGGCTGATAATAGTTGGATGCTCCTTCTTCAAACATAACCTCAGGACAATTTGTCTTCTGCATCTCAGAAACTGCATGAGGCAGCAGCAGGAGCACCAGGAACACCGGCATTGGGATACCATGACTCAGTGCTCGCACGTCCCATGTGCCTGCTCTTCTCACCTGCACCTCCAGCTCAGCCAGAAAACTCTGACCTTGCAGCCCAACAGATGCAATCACTTCTGAGTGGGGCTTTTCTAAGTTTCACCTGGGCACAGTGCCTGCATCTTGTGGTCTGCTGTGATCCCCAGTCCAGCCCTCAAGAGTGCTGCCGGTGTTGCACACAGTCAGTTCCTCTGGCACAAGGCACAGAGTCTCCTGACATTGCCTTTGATTTTGCAATGTGGTTTATGTGTCTCAAGAAGGCCTCTAGAGCATTGGCCAGGATCAACATTAATCTGTTTTTAACCATCTACCGGAGAGAGACATCCACTCTGCTGCCTGACCCATTATGTGTCTCAAGGCAAAGAGGCACAGAGGAAGCAAAACATGATGTTATGGGAGCATGGCCCGACCTCTCTCAGAGGCTCATCTGGAAAGGAGCCAATAGTGGGAACATGTTTTGTCTATAATTGGTGGCCCCCTCTGGGCCCAGGGACACCTTCTTCAGGGTGTGTCTGTTCACTGCCTCCTTTAAAGGGACAGGGACCCAACTCTCCCTCCGTGAGGCATTAAGAACCTCCTGGACCCAGGGACCAATCCCGTGGCTGCCTCTTGTAAGTAGCCAGGAAGGGCAAGGGTCGAGTAAACAGATGGTTGGGCATACCAGCCCAAGCATCTTGTCCACTTCCTCAGGCTGCAGTAACTGAAACTCATCCAACAATGATGAACGTGACAACACTCTGAACACCTTCTGTTCTGGAATCATATCAACTGTGGAGTCCAACTCATGGTAAATCTGAGTGATTTTCTCCATGATGTGCTGGGTAAAGTCATCACAGTGGGCTGCTGAGTGTGTCACCACAAGAATGCAAAGAATCACTATGTTTTAGATACTTTGGAGAAGAATCCGTGAAGCAACTTCATGACTGTTCCATGTAGTTCAAGGTCAGGCAAGTGCCAAGCTGGAGAAAACAGGACTGCATGAAGTCTCAGATGTGGCCCCATCTTATGACATGAGCTGGTTACAGGTGCTGAGGAAAAATCATTAATTTTGCTACTACAAAATCCAGAAAACAATGCACAGGATGCTACCATCCATGCTGTTTTAGGAAATACCAGACTGCACTGTGAGGGGGAAACCTCCTCTGGGCAAACTTGGCTAAATGATGGCATTTCCACAGAGGGAAAGATGAGTCTGGCCAGAACTAGATGTAGCAATGGTTGAGGATCAAAAACAATGCTTCAGGGCATTTGGGAATATGCTGCCCAGCAGGTATTACTGGATTGCAATGTCCATCAGCTTGGCTAATGCTGAAGGATGATGGGTGTTGCAGTCCAACAGGATCAGAGGGCTTTTTCCCATCCTGGATGGAAGCAAATGTGTGCATTACATGGGGGAATTTCCCAGCCTGGCTCCCTTCCATACTCTCCTGGATGCATCAGGTGAGAACCTCAGTGCTGATCCCAGATTCAGTACCAGCATGTCATGCAGGTTCCAGACAGGTTATCCCATGACCAGCAGTACCTGCACCAGGTGGATCTGAGTCCTCATTTCAAAAAGACAGTCCTCATTGGAACACTCCTGTTGCATCTTTCTTCTTCAACATTATCATCCCAAACTCCTGGTTCACCAATAAAGGCCATTCTTGGATCATGCCTGGCCATTCCACAGAGTCCATCAATAAATTCCTAGATGAACCTTGAGGACTTGCTCAAAGCTTGCAGTGATGGAGCCATGTGAAGTCTGGTCCAGCAAAAGTTGGCCATTGTGGGCATGGCTCCTTTCCAAGATGTGAATCAACCCTGGAAAGAACAGCAGCTCAAGACCTCCTTTTCTCCTTTGTGAAAGTTTGTCACAAACTGGCATGCCAGGACCTCTTCTCCATTATCTCAGAGTGCAGAACAGGGAAAAATTTATCCCAGTTGCCTCAGGAAGAACTTCCTGAGCAGTTAGAGCACTATGTCAATAGAACCAATGACCTAGGGAGCTTGGGGGCTCTCCCACACTAGAGGGATTCAGGATGGATCTGGACAGCAATCCGAGAGGGATGATCTCACATGGGGTCTTGCTTGAGTGGCTGGCTGGCTCCAATTGGCTTCTGGCTCCTTCCAAGTCTACTATACAAGAATTCTATGATTCTTGGGCAGTCAAAGATAACACATGGAACTAGGGTTACAATAAGGGAATCGGGAACTACACACCTCCAAATGAGCCCTTGCCATTTGGATCCCTTGAGAGCTTCAGGATTTTTCCTGTGAAATAAGATGGGCCACTAGAGCCACTTCTGCTGTACAGTCACACAGACCCACAACATGCATAGAAGGTAAAAATAAGGTTTATTTAAGGTTTATTCAAAAGGATAAAATTCACATCCAGAGGCAGCAAACATTCCTTTAGCATCACAATCTTTCTCTAAATTTCCAAAGAGGGAAATAGCTTTCTGGCTATTAGAATAACACAAGAAAAGGAGGTCACAGAGAAAGAGGGGTAGACCAGGGCTACTGCCTCTTTGTAATTTGTCCCAAGAGTGGACCCTTAACCCCAGAGCCTTGCATAGGCAGGAAGGCTACAAGGAGTTCATGGGCTGGATCACCAGGCCCGTGATCAGAGATTGGCCCCTGCCAGGACTGAGTGAATTCCATGGGGCTCCTCCTTGGCAGGAACATTTCCCCTCTCTGCTGATGGCTCCACTTCCTTCTGTTGG